CCATTTGGCAGATTGGCTGGTGCCATTTGGTTTTTGCCAACTGCGTAGCAAATCGTCACAACTTGTAAGGTTGCGGTTAGGCATTGGTTAAAATTTGGTTGGTGGAGGGGTAAGAGTTGGCTGTGCCTGACCCTCCAATGCTGCTGCTGCAAGGGAATTCTGTTAAAGGAATCCAGGGGTTTGCCATGCTTTCATCCGAATCCCTTGTGCCACACAAGCCCATGGGAGCATGCGGGGAGGGGTGACGGCATGGTGCCCAGTCCCATTCTCTCCCCAATATTGTTTTCCCTCACTGGCTTTCGCTGGAATCCGGAAGTCAGTTCTGTCCCTGGGCGTGGGGACAGATAGTCGTAAACAATGCCTAAGCAACCACTCACATTATGTATGTTAATAAAGTTGTGGCCAAAATTATGCCAAAAACCTTAAACAAAAATTCTGTGTGAATTGTGATTTATTTAGGGTGGTGGCTTGGGGACCTTGACACGCAAGTGCAAAATCATGTTAGTCCAGAAGGTGAGGATGAGGTCAGTTCATATTGAAATTCACAAAGATCAAATTCCTTGAGCATCCCTAAACCTACTTCTTGGAACTTTTCGTGAGGTATTGTTACATGTACGCATATTCTGAGCTCCAAGGAACGATGAGCTGCAATTGTGAATAAAAGGAGTTAGACTGAGCTGGACCATTGGCCCATCTATCTCAGTGCTGTCTTCAAGGAAGAGTTGTAGCTCTCCAGGTTTTCAGACAGGAGTCCCTACTAGACGTAAATGGAGAGGCTGAGATCTTCTGCTTACACAGCATGTCCTCTACTACAAATATTATCCCATCTTGTCATCTTTCTACCATAGCAATCATAATTGTATCACTTTTATTATGCAAAACTGAGAAGCTAAGGCATGTAACATAAGCAACTCGGTCAAAGTCAGTGTTGGAGCAGGCAATTGATTTATGTCTCCAAAGAAGCACTCCATTCTCCTTGCATTTTAAATATGTGAGTCTAAACATTTAGGGATTTATACTATTTTGACACTGTTGCAGAAGGCAAGGATTTCCTCTGATTTTTCTTTCTTACATGTAAGTGTTAAACCTGTTTCAATGAAATCAGATGGGATCCTCTGGTAGTAATTAGGAGAAACACTCATATTTTACAACAAGGCAAAGACTGTGCATTCCAATTAACAGAATGACTTCCAAGATTTTTTTGATTTTTTTTTTGGTCGTCGTTAAGGAGAGAAACTTGATGTTCAGCTGCCAGGAACAGAGTCAGCCCTTTTCTTAATAAAAGATCTAAGGGCCCAGAAACATAATCAATTCAAATTAAGTATTGATTTATAAATAATGTGGAATTAAGGGAGACATTTATAAACTGTAAATCACTGTTCAGTAGAATTCAGCACTGAGGATTACAAGGCAAAAGGTGGGAAAACTAGAGAGGCTAAAAAACAAAGTAATGTTTTCTCCACAAGATGGGCAAGGCAATCCAATTAAGAACAGCCATCTTCTATGCAAATAATACAACAGTTACAAAAAAAAAAAAGCAACTTACATTTACATTTAATCAAAGGGGGTGAGCACAAGCAAAAAGGGCTTGTTCAGGAGAACTTCAGGAGAACTTCCGGGCAGTGCTAAAATTGCAGAGTTGCAAAGAGGCCCCAGCTACGTTAGCTATTGTTTTTAGAGGGGTGTAGGGTATGATTTGGCAAGAATTGTGGAGAGTTTGTGGGTTTTATTAGAGGCCAACCAAGCATCGACTCATCATTAATGTGCTGTTTTCTGCTGGAAAACCTTGCCTTGTTTTCTCATATAAAAAGGCAGTAAAACTAGCATTTTGTTTGTTTGTTTGTGTTTTGTATACTGCCCTTCATCCGAAGATGAAGACAGGATACAACATAAAAATACAAACTGAGAACACAAAATGCATAACATAACAATACAAAAAGAAATCAATAATACCCCCCTCCAACAAACACATATTTTGTGGGAGTATGCAGACTGTGAAGTGATTCCTCAGTGGGTATGATACATGGAATACCCCAATAGCTGTTGCTTGCAGTGAACCCAATAGATCCTTTACAGACATAACATTAAATTGCAGTGACCCTCAGGCTCCCTCTCCACACACCACACACACCATCCAGCACTGTGGCTATGTGAGGAAATCCATAGCATTCGCCATCACTTTTAAACTAACCAGAGTTTCTCATTATATCCAGACTGAGGAAAACTGCTTAGTTTATACCCTGGTTTGTTCTACTACTCAGGATCAAATGACTCATTGCTGCTCATGCACAAAACCTAGTCTAAATCATAGTTTAGCATGATGTCCAAATCAGGCCAAACAATGCCATATATTCTCTGTCAATTTTGGTTTCTCTCAATTATTTCAAGTTTTAAGTTCGGTTATCCACACCAGTATTTTTTTTTTAAGTCCTTGAGAAAATTCATCAGCAGTTTAGAATAAATTCTCCCGTATGCAATTTTGCCTAATATATACATTTTTGCAAAGCGAAGTTTGTATGCTCTTTTCACCAATGTACAGTGGTACCTCGGGTTAAGTACTAAATTCGTTCCGGACATCTGTTCTTAACCTGAAACTGTTCTTAACCTGAATCACCACTTTAGCTAATGAGGCCTCCTGCTGCTGCCACGCCGCCGGAGCATGATTTCTATTCTTATCCTGAAGCAAAATTCTTAACCCGAGGTAATATTTCTGGGTTAACAGAGTCTGTAACCTGAAGCGTATGTAACCTGAAGCCTATGTAACCCAAGGTACCACTGTGTTCATGTTTTGCACATTTACGGCAGTATATGCATTTTTGTACACATTGCAAAATTCAGGGAAATGCAAATTTCAAAAGATAGCTATGTTTTGGCCCTCATGTTCTCAAAAGTGCAACATAGCTTGGTTCACCTTCAAATGCAAACTGATTAATTTTCTCCCTGCCCTCGTCCCCAGAAACCTTGTGGTGTTGGTAGATGGAACTCCTGAAATACATAGTTCTCTTTTCCTGTTCATAACCAATAATAGGAAGGTCTTGCTTATATTCATTGATCCCAGCAGGTGGACTGCAGCCAGCGCCTCTCTTAAATTAATGATCTTGAGTGTTAGCTAAACTTTAAGCTATTAAGCTACGATATACAGACAGAAACATAAGCAGATCCATTTCTAGACCCACTGCTCTTTGAAGCCAATATTGCCTGCAGTTCTGAAGACAATGAGCAGATATTTTCCTCTCCATAGATAACCATAGGAAACTTCAATATTCACAGCCCTTGGGTTGTAGTCAAATAATTTTACTTAGACAAGACCCACTGAAACTAGAAGACCTATGTAATAACAGCTATTTCTTTCAATGAGTCTACTCCAAGTAAAGGTTAGTTGAAATGATGTTATTTAAAAGTTATGCTTTTAGACCCCTAACAAAACAAAACAAAATCCACAATACTCTGTTCCATTATTGCAAAGTCATAGAATCATAGAATCATAGAGTTGGAAGAGACCACAAGGGCCATCGAGTCCAACCCCCTGCCAAGCAGGAAACACCATCAGAGCACTCCTGACATATGGTTGTCAAGCCTCTGCTTAAAGACCTCCAAAGAAGGAGACTCCACCACACTCCTTGGCAGCAAATTCCACTGTCGAACAGCTCTTACTGTCAGGAAGTTCTTCCTAATGTTTAGGTGGAATCTTCTTTCTTGTAGTTTGGATCCATTGCTCCGTGTCCGCTTCTCTGAAGCTCCCGAAAACAACCTTTCTCCCTCCTCTATGTGACATCCTTTTATATATTTGAACATGGCTATCATATCACCCCTTAACCTCCTCTTCTCCAGGCTAAACATGCCCAGCTCCCTTAGCCGTTCCTCATAAGGCATCGTTTCCAGACCTTTGACCATTTTGGTTGCCCTCCTCTGGACACGTTCCAGTTTGTCAGTGTCCTTCTTGAACTGTGGTGCCCAGAACTGGACACAGTACTCCAGGTGAGGTCTGACCAGAGCAGAATACAGTGGCACTATTACTTCCCTTGATCTAGATGCTATACTCCTATTGATGCAAAGTCAATCAGGCAACAAATCTTAAAGCTGCAGTATGGAAATATTATTGGAGCCAAGAAAAATGTCACAAACTGGTGAGCAAGCCTTAGAGTTCTACAGAAGTCTTCTTCTTGCTGGAAGTCAAACAAAACAGGTAGAAAGACGGGCATCTGAAGAAAGCTCATACCAATAACAAACTTAGTTGGTCGCTAAGGTGCTACTGGAAGGAATTTTTTTATTTTGTTTTGACTACGGCAGACCAACACGGCTACCTACCTGTAGGCAGAAAGACAGAGAGAGTAGGAAGGCAGGAAAGAAGGAGAAATAAGGCACTGTGTTAAAGCCCCATGATTTGAAGTGTGCAACAGGTTTAAGGTGGAGTGCAGGAGGAGCTGTACAAAATTACGACCATATGCAACTAAGTTTTAATTAGACAAGACCTACTGAAATTAATAGAGATGCGGGTGGTGCTGTGGGTTAAACCACTGAGCCTCTTGGGCTTGCCAATCAGAAGGTCGGTGGTTCGAATCCCCGCGACAGGGTGAGCTCCCATTGCTTGGTCCCTGCTCCGGCCAACCTAGCAGTTCATAAGCATGTCAAAGTGCAAGTAGATAAATAGGTACTGCTCCGGCGGGAAGGTAAACGGCGTTTCCATGCGCTGCTCTGGTTTGCCAGAAGCAGCTTAGTCATGCTGGCCACATGACCCGGAAGCTGTACGCCGGCTCCCTCGGCCAATAAAGCGAGATGAGCGCCGCAACCCCAGAGTCGGACACGACTGAACCTAATGGTCAGGGGTCCCTTTACCTTTACCTTACTGAAATTAATGGACCTAAATTTGTCATATTCTTTAATTTTAGCAGATCTACTCTGATTAAAACTTAGTTGAATAAAGTGGTACACAGAGCCTAGCAGGAGTTCATTCTTATTTTGTAGGAGGAATATTGTTCCCCCTGAACCTTCTTCTGTAGCCCTTTAAAGAAATGCACAAAATGAACATTTTGGATTGGTACACAGATTATTTAGCCAAGTGTGCAAAGAGAAATAGTTCTTTCAGAGTTACAGATTTAGGGCACAGTCCACCAATCCAATCTGCTATGCTGGTGTGTCTAACCCACTCCTCATCGCCCACTCTTGCAGGAAGGCAAGCTGCAGCAAACCAAAGTCATACGTTAAATCCTGTGGACACTGCACAGTCAGGTGGCCAGGTGAAATCTGCTCCTGTAACTGACTGCAGCAGTTCCAACAGTTCTGAGTCAGGAACGGTGCTTGTGATGCACATTGGACCAGATGCTCTGCTTGGACCAAGAAATCCCGCTGTTCTATGGAGCTCCTTGAATATAACTGAACAGGTCAAAAGCCTCTTTATGACTCTCTTCATTTAACTTACCTCATTGGGTTCTTAGGATGATGCGTGTAATAATGTGATAACTCTGAGCTGATATATAGAGGAAATAGAACTGCCTTTCCCAATTGTCACTATTCCCCATCATCCCTATTTAAAATTGGAATTAAGCAAGGGGAAAAGCTAAATTCCAAAACAGTAAAGTAACTGAATGAGGAAAATATGATTTTCCTCAGGTGTTCTGAAGCAAGAACGCAAATGCCTGTCTGTTAAACCTTGCACCCTCTTAGGGCCTCGTTGTTGTTGTGTCCCTAAAATTGTTAAGGTTAATCCAAAAATATAAAATCTTAAAACAATGAGCAGGGGTTTGAAAGCATGTGTATGATATTGGAAAGCTCTCTGTGGAGTACACACCCAGTTTTGTTGCTTGTGTAATGTGTGAAACAGTCCCGTCTCTGTATTTTGAATGCATTTTATCTCTAGTTTAGGCAGATATTTGTGTAAATTGGTACATTTCTCACACCTTCAAGGGCATTCTTTGACTCGTTTTTATTTTGAATGGTTGTTCTCATCCAACCTTTCATTATCAGATGTATCACATGATACCAAAAAGCAGATAAGAGATTTGTCTTCATATTTTCTTGTAACAATTCTACCTCCAGAGCAGCAGGGGAAAGAAGGTGAAACCAGAGGCTCAATTCTGAAGATCATGCTTATCCTGAAGGAGAAAACAGATGAATGGTGGACTCCGCTCTGAGTCTCAGCAACTGACAATGTGAGATCAATGATTAGATAGTACAATGATAGGAGCTATCGGAGAGAGAAAAATTAAATGCACAGATTGCCCTTGAATTGTCTGTCCTTCTACTTGGGGCGAAACCCGATGCTCTGAATCTCATTTTCCAAAGTGCTTCAGGAATTTAGGCGTGCCAATGGCTCGAGAGCACTGAAAACTCGTATCTACGCACCTACTTCAAGCTCCATTCATTTCACATTTCAGTCCGGATTAAGTTGGTGTAGTGCTCTAAAGATGAGGTTGTTGACCCTTTCCAGAAGAGTCTAGCTCATATTTGTGACCTGCCTTTGGCCTCTTTAAAACAATTTGATTTACAGAAGATGGGAACTTAGCATCGCCTGTAACTACCTTTTATTCCCCAAAACATAAACATCTCAAATTATATGACACTTGACCCCTGGGAAAGCTTGGTCCTAGTGAATTAGCCAATGTGGCCTAATAGAGACGACTGCTGGAACAGAACCAGGAAGAGCAGAGTTCAAGTAATTGACTTCTTGGTTGATCAAAGAATTCCATTTGGCCCCAGTGGAAATGGAATTCGACTGTAGGCCTTGAGCCTAACAGATGTTTGACTTTCTTTTTAATGTAAAGCACTTGGAGCATTTTTGTTTGAAATGGAAAGGTGAAGTATAAATGTTTTTAAAAATAAAGAAATCCTTTTCAATGTGGGATGTTCCTCAAGCTGAGACACCACAAAGAGCTAAACAATGGCTGAAAGGGCCCATAACGCGGCATTCAATTTGGAGACATGACTATTTATTACAAGCTAATGCAAGTTAATAGGGATGCGGGTGGTACTGTGGTCTGGACCACTGAGTCTCTTGGGCTTGTTGATCAGAAGATTGGCAGTTCAAATCCCCTCGACGGGGTGAGCTCCCATTGCTCTGTCCCAGCTCCTGCCAACCTAGCAGTTCAAAAGCACGCCCCAAAGTGCAAGTAGATAAATAGGTAACACTCTGGTGGGAAGCTAAATGGTGTTTCCGTTCACTGCTCTCGTTTTGGTGTTCTGTTGCACCAGAAGTAGCTTAGTCATGCTGGCCACATGACCCAGAAAAACTGTCTGCGGACAAACGCAGGCTCCCTCGGCCTGTAAAGCAAGATGAGCGCCTCAACCCCAGAGTCATCTGCAACTGGACTTAACTGTCAGGGGTCCTTTAAGGTAAAGGGGCCCCTGACCATTAGGTCCAGTCATGGCCGACTTTGGGGTTGCAGCGCTCATCTCGCTTTATTGGCCGAGGGAGCCAGCATACAGCTTCCGGGTTATGTGGCCAGCATGACTAAGCCACTTCTGGTGAACCAGAGCAGTGCATGGAAACGCTGTTTACCTTCCCACCGGAGCAGTACCTATTGATCTACTCGCACTTTGACGTGCTTTCGAACTGCTAGGTTGGCAGGAGCAGGGACCGAGCAATGGGAGATCACCCTGTCGCGGGGATTCAAACCACCGACCTTCTGATCGGCAAGCCCAAGAGGCTCAGTGGTTTAACCCACAGCACCACCCGCATCCCTTCAGGGGTCCTTTACCTTTAATGCAAGTTAACAGGCACCACTTTTGAAACAAAGCAATTTAAAGAATAGATCATTTGGAATGACGTGTGGTGTGTGTGTGTGTGTGTGTGTGTGTGTGTGTGCGTGTGCGCTTAACCCTTTCTTCACTTGACATTGTCCCCATTCAGGGGCAACCCAAGACATTTTGGCAACTGAGGCAAACTACAAAATGGCACCTCCTTCCCCACCTGGGAAAGAAGGAGTGAGTGAAGACCTATATCAGAAACAAGGGGGGAATAAGGCTCTAGACTGGGATCTGCTGCCCCTGTGGATCCTGCCATCTGCGGCGGTCGCCTCACCTTGCCTCATGGGTGGGCTGGCCCTGTCCCCAGCCCAAGAGGAATTTACTCAAACTTGTGTTTTGTATTTGTTGCTGGAAGCGGGCAACTAGGAATATAGAACTTGCAGGAAGGGAAATGGGTTAAGCATGCCTTCCCCTCACCGCTTTTTCACTTTAAATTCCTCCCACCTGTCATCTACTTGCAGTGAAGTCCTTTACACTACAACCATGCCACAATTATCTGATTGAAGTTAAATTGCTTTTGAATCACTTTAAAGTACTATAAGGAAGCATTAAAAAAGAACTAATCCCGAGAAAGTGCAATCACAGAACTCAGAGTAAATGGAAATCATGTCACAAAAACAACAGGGATTATTGCATGCTGTAAAATATGCAACTTATTTATTATCAAGAAAATGTTTACTGTAATAAATAAAGAAAATACAGCTCCACTAATGGCCTGCATCGTGGCAATAGGGAATATTTGCTTTTTACAGTCCACAATTGCTTGTTTTATGATAAAAGGCTGTATATTTCATGCCAGATAGCCCCCAAAAGTATATATTTCATGTTTAAATATAAAATATTTATGAATCTAAGAAATTAGCCTTTCCATTATAGACTGGTTGTGTTATAATGAAATCAAGACAAACCAAACAAACTACACATCCAGTGACACCTCCCCCCCAAAAAAAAATTATCTTCTTTTTCTCAGAATCTTAGACAAGCCGAGTGACTAGTACTGTTGCAAGAAGTGATTTGAGACACTTGCCCAGAACACATGAAAAAAACTCTCATTCTCACCTCAGATGAAAAATGCGCACGGAGAAAGGTTAATCGCAAATGATTCTGAGGTAGGGACAGCTTGATATGGGAGTAGACACTCCTTCAGGTTCTTGGGTCACAAGTAATTTGAAGACAAGCACCAGTTAGCATCTTGACCTGGGCTCAGAAGTGGACAAGTAACCAATGGAGATATTTTAGTATTGGTGCACTATGAGCAAGATAACTTCTGCAATGTGCTCTACGTGGGGCTACCTTTGAAGGTGACACGGAAACTGCAATTAATCCAGAATGCGGCAGCTAGACTGGTGACTGGGAGTGGCCACTGGGACCACATAACACCGGTTCTGAGAGATCTGCATTGGCTCCCAGTACGTTTCCGAGCACAATTCAAAGTGTTGGTGCTGACCTTTAAAGCCCTAAACGGCCTCGGTCCTGGATACCTGAAGGAGCGTCTCCACCCCCATCGTCCAGCCCAGACACTGAGGTCCAGCGCCGAGGGCCTTCTGGTGGTTCCCTCATTGCGAGACGTGAGGTTACAGGGAACCAGACAGAGGGCCTTCTCGGTAGTGGCGCCCACCCTGTGGAACACCCTTTCTTCAGATGTGAAGGAAATAAGCAGTTATCCTATCTTTAAAAGACATCTGGAGGCAGCCCTGTTTAGGTAAGTTTTTAATATTTAATGCTGTACTGTTTTTAATATTTGATTGGGAGCCGCCCAGAGTGGCTGGGGAGACTCAGCCAGATGGGTGGGGTATAAATAAGTTGTTGTTGTTGTTGTTGTTGTTGTTGTTGTGGTTGTTGTTATGAGACATTTAGAAGGAAGGTTGGGTTATTTGGTTAACCATCTCAATTGGCTTCTAGGGGGAGAACTAATTTGTTGCTAATTTCATTCCCAGCCAATGTTCTTAAAGGCCCCACAACCCATTGGACTAGACATGGGACTAAACGTAAAGGTAAACGTACCTCTGACCATTAGGTCCAGTCACAGACGACTCTAGGGTTGTGCACTCATCTCGCTCTATAGGCCAAGGGAGCCGGCGTTTGTCCGCAGACAGTTTTTCCAGGTCATATGGCCAGCATGACTAAGCTGCTTCTGGCAAACCAGAGCAGCGCACGGAAACGCTGTTTACCTTCCCGCTAGAGTGGTACCTATTTATCTACTTGCAATTTGATGTGCTTTCGAACTGCTAGGTTGGCAGGAGCTGGGACCAAACAATGGGAGATTACCCCGTTGCAGGGATTCAAACCGCCGACCTTCTGATCGGCAAGCCCTAGGCTCTGTGGTTTAGACCACAGCACCACCCGCGTCCCAGACATGGGACTATTCCTTTGCAAACACTCTTCCCTTACTATGCTACAATTATTCACTGATGTTAAGTGCCATAATCAGGGCATACACTGCTAGACTTCATTTATGTATTTCTTCATAAAAGAATATACTGCCCTCTTGCAAAACATCAGGGCGGTGTACAACATACAGACTTTTAAAAGCCAAACAAAGCAACCATTAAAATGACTTATTACTCAAGGACATTTTAGACAACTGCATACAAATTCAATAAATAGTGATAGCAATAATAATAATAATACTTTACCAAGTGATTTCTATGCATTTGATTAACTGAGAAATACTGTACACTTTTTAAGGTTTACAACTCTTGTCATGTGTCCATCTATACTCCTGGATAATGATATCCCGTTTTTTCCTCTCTGATTCATCAGCTTCCTCCATACCCTAGCTATACCCAGGTGGGTGAATGTTGCACGCTTAGGAACAGCCACAAAAAAGTATGAAGCAGCCCTTAACTGTGTTCCAGATTCCTCTTATTTTATTTTGAGCTTCTGCTACTGCCATCAGTTCAGATACACATTTGAATCCCACTCTGTCTTAGGATCCTACAACTTATAAACTTTTAAATTAAACGAAAAGACCGAGATGTTAATGGGCATGCTAGAAGCTTTTAACTGTTTCCACTGACCTCAACCATTATGGGATCCAAGCTTGGAGGTCTTGGGAGGCAATGATCTGTAATAACTCGCCAAATCTTGATGGATGCTAGCAATCTGAACACATAAACTCCCATTCTATGGCTCCAGCTGTGCAACTGATGCTGTGGACAATCTGTATTTGTACTGGTCCTGTCCTGACTTCTGCTTCCATAAAAATCAATACAATCTTCTCCATGGACTTTAGGGATTTTCCTTTGCTGTGTACCAGTAATTTGAATTTTTTTTCTGCTGAAACTGTCTGATATATTTTCTGCCAATATACCCTTGATACTAAATACCCTTGCAGGGAAATAATTAAGCTGTTTCGAAAATAGAGAAACGAAGCACTGAATATTACAATATCATTTCTTAACTCTTGGTTCAGTATCCCCCCCCCCCTTTTAGCCATATAAAAGGGAGTGGGGAAGCAGACGGAGGAAGAGGCTCGCTTTTTAAACACAGTGCTTCTGTAAGGGAAGGGGGGAGTGGGAATCCCTCGCTGATTTATGAATTTGAGTTTGAAAAGTGGCTTGTAATACAATGACTTTGCCAGGACAACATACCCTGTTTCATATCTAAGTACTTAAATAGTGCAGAATTGTCAAGTAATATAGCAGTTGCTAACAAGGCTGTCAAGCAAACTTTGTGTAGTCAGCAGTTGCACGTATATGACTTTCTGTACTTGATGAATGCTCAGGTTACCAAATGGCTTGGCTAATGCAAAATCCAGTCTAAGTCATGTACGCCTTGCTTCCCTCCCCTTCTTTCTACTGACCTCAAACATACTGCCTTTTGTGGCTAACCTTACTACAACTGAAACATTTGCCACGTTCAGCTTCTCAGTTCAATTCCAGGGCATGTCCAAAACCTAGCAACTTACGCTGCTGAATAAAAGGATAGGAGATGCTATTCCCTTTCACAGAAACAGTTTACTTACTCTTTGCCGTTAAAATCTGCATCACTAAAATTGAAAACACACTCACTTCCACTTGTCACCATCAGTTGTGCACTGGACACGAAGGACGTTGCAATTAGCTGCAACACAGTCCCACTGAAAGCAATGGAATGGGATTCTGCCATTCTAACTTCAGTCACGTTGATTTCAATGGACCTTATCATGACCAACCTTGACTTAAATTCGATTGACGTCCAAGGATATGGCACTCATTTAGAAGTGAATGGATCAAATTTAGAACTTTTCAAGGTGTAGCAGAAGAAAGAAACATGGTTTTCAGCCCAGGGTGAGAGGTGAGGAGAGGAATCAGCGTTATAAAGTGTTGCTTTATCTGATTGCCTGTGGTGGCCTCCACATTTTCTGTTGAAATCATCGCATCAAATGTTTTATCAAGACAAAGCGTGTTCTCCTTCATGGAGAGCACGTGTTGCGGTGGGGGCCGACAGGACACTCCAAAGTTGTGGGGCGGGCTAATTGAGCACTGTTGTGATTGGGCTTCCCTTGTTGTTGGGAAGAAGTTAATGTTGCCATTTGTTGATTGACAGCCAGAAACGTTAAAACTCCCTGCACAAAGCATAGAGCTTCCTCTTTTCGCCTGTGCATCGGATTGCCCGCCCCCCCCCATATTTAGGGTTGTTCGCTTTGACCTTGCTATGCCTGTCATGGGGTCATCTGCTTTTGGGGCAGGGGCCCGGTAGGAATTTTGTCCATCTGGCTGATTGGCTGGGGCCATTTGGTTTTTGCCTACTGCGTAGTAAATCGTCACAACTTGTAAGGTTGTGGTTAGGCATAGGTTTATGGTTTGTTTGGTTGGTTGAGGGGCATGGATTGGCTGTGCCTGCCCCTCTAATGCTGCTGCTGCAAGGGATTCCGTTAAAGGAATACAGGGGCTCACCATTGCTTTTGTCCAAACCCTGTCAAGGGGCTAGGGCCACGCAAGAGCCCCTGGTTGCATTTGGGGAGGGCTGAGGGCAGGTTCCCTGCTCCGTCGATACCCCCAAATGTATTCCCCTTTTCTGACTTTCACATTGTGCGGAATGTCAGTCTGTCGCCCACTGGGGGGCAGATAGTCGCAACCAATGCCTAAGCAACCACTCAAATTTTTTGTATTTTAATAAATTTGTGGCCAAAATTATGCCAAAAACCTTAAACAAAATTTCTGTGTGATGTGTGAGTTATTTGGGGTGGCCCTGGAGACCTCGACGCGCAATATCAACACAATCGCATGGTCTGCCTCAGCCAAAAGATTTAATGACATTGTGGGCAAACGAATGAGGCCAGTGACTGAGAAGGTAACGCAGAAGAAAGACAATGGCAAAATAGTGCCCCCCCCCCAAAAAAGGCTGAAAATAAGAGGTGTTTTTTTAAAAAATAAAAACACTAAAAACAGACTGCAAAACAAGGCAAGCTACCCAGAAGGCTCTGTGGAGCCTTGTGGCAGTATATAAATCCAATACAAATAGTTTTGTCCTAGTCCTAATCTTAATAAACAAAATGTTGCAAAAGAGATCAAACATGAAACAAAGGCAAGGTGCCTTTTAAAATTACTCCCCTTGCCTCCCATTGCTTGGCTCTCCTAATTTATAACAGTAGCCTGCCCCATTCCCAGCATGGAGGGAGCCTGTCTTTGTTCTGTTGATCTCTCTATGATAGCTAATACATGCACATATTACTGCTGACATTAAAAAAAAAAAAATCTTAACTGTTTCTGAGAGTGCATGGTAAACAGATGCTATGGGATTTTTATTTTTATATTTTTTCCACCCATTATCAGTCATCTTTGAAGACTGCAGTAAAGTGACAGGCTGTTTGAGGCACTTCAGTATAACAGTGAGAGATTTATTTTTAATAGAATATTGATATTATGGTGCAGAATGCCATCAGCGCTTGCATTTCCCTCCTTTTCAAGATGCAGTTTACCCAATTTTATTTCCTTTTTTTTAAGCTCTAGTGACCCTGTCTTATACCTTACTATATTTTTTATGGAAAAAGTTAGGTTTTTATGAACTCCCTGATTAAAGCACCTCCATCTGAATGCAGATTAAAAGTTCCAGCAACCTGAGAACACTGAACCAATGAATATTTATATAGAAAAAGAGCAGATGAATGCACTTTAAATCTTCAATGCACTTCCAGTCATGGGGTTTATCTTATTTTAGGGCTTACATTTTATTAAAATGAACCATTGCATATTTACACAACAGAAATAAACGTTATTTGCAAGCACGGTATAGTAAAAATTCTTACAAATACATCGGCTTGGTGAAAAGTGAAGGTACTTCTCAAACAAATACATTTCTTCATCAGAAATTCTGATTAGAGGGTTTGCCATTGCACACAACAGGCAGAATTTGGTACATTTCCTACCTGGCCTAGCATTTAATGGATCCTGAATACCCTTACTCGCAAGCAAGTCCTATTACTATCAGTGGCAGCATGTCACTTAAGCACACTTTCAACAGCTGGGATTTTATCCTACAGCCTTGCATATTAACATCTTATGGGTTTGATCCAATGCACTGCAGGTACAATACTCATGTGAAAAGAGATGGGAGTCTTGTTTCCTTCTGCCTGGCATTCGTGATCACCACGACAGACTATTTCATGGAATGGGAGGTCTATGTGGAAATGGTTCCACATCAATTGAAAATGAGTGGATCATGCTATCTGCATGACCTTCTGGAAGAAGGAAAGCAGATTTGGACATGCAGAAGTTTGTGCTAGAGGAGAGAAGAAAATACTGTGCTATGTCTTGGAATATCTGAATGATTTTATTGATATATCATATATATAGGAACTTCATTGTACACAGAGGGTAGACAAAACCAGTGTGCAGTTGAATTATGATCAAATCAAGCTAATACTGGGCAGATACATTGGGGGTTTTCAGCGCCTCTTAGCTAGTTAATAGTCAGCTGGAGCACCAGGGATGATAAAAGAAGGGGTTTCAAATTGTACCTTTAAATTATAATTTGTTCTTTCAGAACACAATCAGACTGAACAAACACTTTCCCCTTGAACGAATTAGTTCTTAGAATTGTACAGGACTGCCAGGTCACTCAGTCTAAATCTTGATAACCCCTAGAACGGAGACTTCAATGGGCCTGTGGTCAATAACTGCAGCAAGAGTAAACACAGGCATTGAAACTGACAACACCGTATATACACTACAGCAGTAGGAAAAAGCCTAGGCTTGTAAATGAAAGCAAGCGCCGGTTCATGGCCCGCCATATGCCTGTGCTCTGTGAATGTTCTGGTGTAAAGTTTTGCGGCAAGACTCAAAAGAAGGAACTTCCCATTTTCGGATCCTTGAAAACAAATACATTTTTATTTTATTTTTACAATGGCATCATAAATATTTTGAATGAATCCATGATGCATCTTAAGTGGATTTTATAGGCAATGCAATCTTCCTATCTTTCCAGCTCTTATTTTATGTAGACAGATTCATCACATTGCATTAAATTCTCTCTCCCCCCACCCTCACTCTCTTGTTAGTAAAGAGAGGCGGGGAGACCGAATGTGCTCTTAAAAATAAATGCTTACAAATTGGTTTATTGTTTCTTCGTTCAGAAAAAGAGAGGGCTCACTTTGGTAGCTGCCTTTTTGACATTCCGATAGTGAATTTGACATTTGTATTATCGCAATGCTATTCAAACAACAATTAGATAACCATATTCCAGCTGTTGCAAGGTTAGATAATGTTTCTCCTCCCCACCCGAGATGAACTGGCAAGAAAACAGGGACACTTCAGTATACACCAAGATGAAATTTTGGAGATACGTTAGTACTAAAAAACAGAACTATGTTCAGGTTTATATGAACTCATTAAAGAGAGGGAGAGAGAGAGAGAGCCATCATATTCCTCAAGGTTTCTTCAATCCCAGTGAAACAGTTTTTCACGGTTTTGTTTCAAGAAAAGCTCATTTCTGCCACCTGTGTAAATTATGCAAGTTAAGTATATTACACAATTTCCCTTGTTTTGCATAAAATATTCTGCTTCTGCTATGTGAGGCTCCACCCTGACTACTTAAAAAGAAACCTTATGCATCAAGGATGGAAAAAACTGTGGCCCTTGATGTGTTATGGCACTGTAGCTCCCATCAGCTCCTTGGCCGATGAACAGAGATGATGAGAGTTGTGGCCCAACAACACTTGCCTTCTATGCAGCAACAGAAGTCTCACTTTAGCATTGGCCACTACAGACCATTAAGCATCTATTCATAACCAAAAGAGCAAGAAGCAACTTGCTTTTCATTGAAATTTGCCTTGGATTTTCCAGAATATGTCTTCTCTGCCCAACCATTATATTCTGCACTCATTGTGTTGCACAAATTATTTTAAAACAGGCACAGCTCTAGTTACCGTATTTTTCGCTCTATAAGACGCGCCGGGCCACAAGACACACCTAGTTTTTGGAGGAGGAAAACAAGAAAAAAAATATTCTGAATCTCAGAAGCCAGAACAGCAAGAGGGATCGCTGCACAGTGAAAGCAGCAATCCCTCTTGCTGTTCTGGATTCTGGGATAGCTGCACAGCCTGCATTCACTCCATAACACACACACACACACATTTCCCCTTACTTTTTAGGAGGGAAAAAGTGAGTCTTATAGAGCAAAAAATACGGTAAATCTTCAGCTTGCCCTCAATCTCACATATCCAACACCTTGTCATATAAAGCGTGTTCTCCATCACGGAGAGCACGTGTTGCGGTTGGGGATTCCAAGACACCTTGCTGTTTCTGGGCAGATGGTTTGGCCAACTCGTAAGCAGGGGCGGGCTGTTACTGGGGAATATTACATGTTGCCATTTAGTGACTGACAGCCCTATTTGTTAAATACAAGGCACGCAGCAACGGACGTCCTCTTTCGCTGCGTGCTTCGGATCACCCGCCCTCCCTTCCCTAATGTTAGGCTGTTTGCTTGACCTTGCTATTGCCTGTCATGGGGTAGTCTGCTTTGGGGCAGGGGCCCAGTAGGAATTTTGCCATTTGGCTGATTAGTGTGTGCCACTTGGTTTTCACCTACCGTGTAGCAAATCGTCACAACTTGGAAGGTTTGCGGTTGGGCATTGGTCTGGAATTGGTTGCTGGGGGGGTATGGATTCGGCTGTGCCTGCCCCCCAAAATGTTGCTCCTGGTGGAGGGGTATGGATTCAGCTGTGCCTGCCCCTCCAAAATGCTGCTGCTGAAGGGTTTTACCGTTAAAGGAACCCAGGGGCTCCCCCATGCTTTTGTCCGAAACCCCCTGGCAAGGGGCTAGGGCCACGCAAGCCCCTGGGAGCATGCTGGGGAGAGGTGAGGCATGGTTCCCAGTCCCGTCTCTCTCCCCAGGTGACTTACCAGGGACCTCGACACGCAACTGCCTTGGGGAGGGAAGATTGGTCTAGCTTGTAGAAGGCAAGAGGGCAAGCTCTATCTTGCCTTGGTTTCCACCCACCATTATGGTTAGAAGCCAGGTAAAATCCTGCCAACTAGTCAATATGACAGCCCTACCAGGAGGGTAGCCAAGCTGGTGCTGGGACCAGAAGGTATCTCACCAGGGGCCCCTCAAGCCTGCCAGTGCTTCTGTTTAGCAGAAGGGGGCAGAAGATCAGTCAGTCCAGCAGAATGCCTAAATAGCTGCCCACAGAATACCTAAATAGCTGTCATATAGTAAGCACACGCCGGCCTTGTTGGGACCAGAGTCCAAGGCCCACTGCAGGAGAGATACTCATCTAAAGGGGAGAAGGAAGCTTTTGACAGGGAGGGAAAGAGGGGAATTAAGACAAGGAACAAGGGAAGCTAAGGCACTACAAAGAACATGGAGTTAGGAAACAGGATATGCAAGCTCATGGCCAACCTTAGGAAATGATAGAAAGATGGCCTCCACTCACCTTTTGCCTACATGGCCAGCAAGAGCCATGTCAAAAGGCAAAAGAAATAAAGAAGGCAGGAAGATCAGAACTTATCAGTGCTGTAGACTCGGCATAGCAAGAGTAGCAAGAGACAGGAGACAGCTGCCCACCCACAAACACTGCGACTACACTGGTTGCAAACAGAACCCTAGCCACACAGGACAGGACAGGTTTCACACCCAAAAGAGTGCTCTACCAGCCATCCAGGCAGAGCTGCCCCAATTAGCTAACAGCCTGCCTGTCACGTAGTCCAGGTTGTCTTGTACAGTGGTACCTCGGGTTACAGACACTTCAAGTTACAGACGCTTCAGGTTACAGACTCCGCTAACCCAGAAATAGTACCTCGGGTTAAGAACTTTGTTTCAGGATGAGAACAGAAATCGCGCGGTGGCGGCGCGGCAGCAGTGGGAGGCCCCATTAGCTAACCTGGTACTTCAGGTTAAGAACAGTTTCAGATTAAGAACGGACCTCCAGAACAAATTAAGTTCTTCACCTGAGGTACCACTGTATATCAATCAATCACTCACTCACTCAATCAATCAATCAATCAATCAAATACCATTTCAAATAACTGGAATAATTAAAAGAACGAGGGTGAAGTTATCAAGGGTTATAAGGTCACACTATGGTCATGTGCATTTGGATATTCTGCTATGCCCTGTCTATTTCCTGAAAGGATAGTTCGTTGGGAACCCTTTGGGGTAAAATTGTGGCGGGTAAATTTTTACCTTTCGGGTAAAGTTGCATTAGTCATGCCTAGTCATCTGCTTGACAGTCTCGGCCTGTTGGCTATTGCTGCAACAGTCTCAGCCCGAGGCCTGTGAAAAGCAGAAAGGGAGCCATTCCCATTAACCATGTACCAGCAGCTGTAAATAAATGAAAGATTACGTTGAACAGCATCAGAGATGAAGGTGTTTTTTAAAGAAAGATGAGTGAGTAGTGAAGCCCCAGCAGGGTTCTTTTGCCTTCGAAAGTTGCAGAACAGACAACAGAGTAGCCAGCGTTTATCCCTGTGTTCTGTTACCATGCTGGGTATGACTCCTTTTGTTACATTAACTGTCAGTCAAGGAACTTGTACAATGAGAAGTAAAATGGCCTGCATCATACTGTTGATTGCTCCTGGTCTTGCTACAAGCCTGACTTGTGTTCTGCATGGCAAAGGAAGTGGTGAATGTTCTTGCCTCTACAGCTGTTTGGGGGGTTGTCTGTGGAGGGCAAGACAGATGCAGGGACATAAACAATTGGGTGTTTGTGAGCAACTGATGGAGAGGTAAAATGCTGTCACCTCATATTGCCCTCCTCTCTCTCTCTCTCTCTCTCTCTCCCTCTCTCTCTCTCTCTGTGCTTCCCAATGTGAGATGCTGCCCTCCTCACTTGATGCATTCCTGAAGTGAATGGAAGGCTCCTACTCTGGCTATTTTGGAAACTTAAACCTTCAGATGACATGCTATAGATTTAACAAAACGTGCAGTTAAGCTGTTGTTGTTGTTGTTGTTGTTTAGTCCTTTAGTCGTGACCAACTCTTCATGACCCCATGGACCAGAGCATGCCAGGCACTCCTATCTTCCACTGCCTCCTGCAGTTTGGTCAAACTCATGCTGGTAGCATCGAGAACACTGTTCAACCATCTTGTTCTCTGTCGTCTCCTTCTCCTTGTCCCCTCCATCTTTCCCAACATCAGGTTCTTTTCCAGGGAGTCTTCTCTTCTCATGAGGTGGCCAAAGTATTGGAGCCTCAGCTTCAGGATCTGTCCTTCCAGTGAGCACTCAAGGCTGATTTCCTTCAGAATGGATCAGTTTGATCTTCTTGCAGTCCATGGGACTCTCAAGAGTCTCCTCCAGCACCATAACTCAAAAGCATCAATTCTTTGGCGATCAGCCTTCTTTATGGTCCAGCTTTCACTTCTATACATCACTGCTGGGAAAACCATAGCTTTAACTATACAGACCTTTGTCGACAAGGTGATGTTTCTGCTTTTTGAGATGCTGTCTAGGCTTGTCATCACTTTTCTCCCAAGAAACAGGCATCTTTTAATTTCATGACTGCTGTCACCATTTGCAGCGATCATGGAGCCCAAGAAAGTAAAATCTCTCACTGCCTCCATTTCTTCCCCTAGTTAAGCCCTAGGTGGGTGTAATTCACTGAAGCATGGTTCCCTTCCCATAAGGACAACATTGCTTTGCCTACCAGCATGGGGTGCCTTGTCTTTGCAGCTATTAGATGTTTGTATCTGGGCTTTTTCAAGCCCCATGTTGGGCAAAGGATCGTGATCCATTCCAACTCCAAAATTCTGTGATTCTAAGTTTCTAGTGCTCTAGTAAATTTATCTTCAGTCGAAATTTTTTTAAAAAAAATTCCTTCCAGTAGCACCTTAAAAGGTAAAGGTACCCTTGCCCGTACGGGCCAGTCTTGCCGAACTCTAGGGTTGTGTGCCCATCTCACTCTATAGGCCGGGAGCCAGCGCTGTCCGCAGACACTTCCGGGTCACGTGGCCAGCGTGACAAGCTGCATCTGGCGAGCCAGCGCAGCACACGGAACGCCGTTTACCTTCCTGCTGGTAAGCGGTCCCTATTTATCTACTTGCACTTTGAGGTCCTTTCGAACTGCTAGGTTGGCAGGCGCTGGGACCGAACGACGGGAGGACACCCCGCCGCGGGGATTCGAACCGCCGACCATGCAATCGGCAAGTCCTAGGCACTGAGGTTTTACCCACAGCGCCACCCGCGTCCCTTCCAGTAGCACCTTAGAGACCCGCTAAGTTTGTTATTGGTATGAGCTTTTGTGTGTATGCACACTTCTTCAGATACACACTTAGTTGGTCTCTAAGGTGCTACTGGAAGGATTTTTTAAATTTTGTTTCGACTATGGTAGACCAAAACGGCTACCTACCTCCAACTTTATATTCAGTGTTTGGGTTCAGCATTTTAAGTTTAATATAACACAAAGGATTAATATGTTCATCTTTTGTTATCATGTCTGAAGTGTGGCTGGGATTTTATAAAGAAATGGTTAGAAACTCTATTTTTTCATCTCATATCTATGTGGAAGCTGGTACGTGGTGGGATAAATTCTGAACTGGTTCTGAGGTAGGCCTCAGATAACAAGATATAACTTAAGCGCACCAAACTTCAGCTGGGGGACAGAGTACTGGCCTTTGCCTCATAGGCCTCTTGTGCAAACAGAAGGAAAAAGGTAAAGGTAACTGAGATAAAGGTAACAAGGCCAAAGAATCACCCAAACAAAGGAATTGCATGAGTGGGTATTATGACATCTGAACATGGTAAACACTGGCCAAAATGATGGGCTGATTGTCCATGTAAGTGATTTAAGTCTATGCTCGGTTTTTCTGCGAAAGAGTCACAGCATTTTGCAGTTTCCTATTAAATAACTTTTGAGCTAAGTAGCAAGCCTGGGCATTGACAGCATAGTTGAACCAAGAGAATGGAGGTAAATTTGGGGGAACAGACAAAAAGGAAAAGGATTCAAGGCAAATAATTCTTGGGCCTATACCTTGCTTATTGAAACAAAGCCCTAGAATAACCTTACAACAAAGTCATAGAAAATAAAAATAAAAAACAATAGAAGCCTACCTAAGATTCAGTCACCCATGATACAATCTCAAGCCACAAATGCAGAAAGCAAGTATCAACCAGCATATTCTGGTGCTCACTGACTATTTTGTCAAATCGGTTTATCTCTAGAATGCCAAATGTTTTTGAAAGGAACTAGGTGGTGGAGCACAACAAATTTAAAGGGAGAACTAACAGACTGTGAGCACAGTCTTTGTAATCAACACTGATCAAGATAAAGTCCATGAAGGTACAGTGGTACCTCGGGTTAAGAACTTAATTCGTTCTGGAGGTCTGTTCTTAACCTGAAACTGTTCTTAACCTGAGGTACCACTTTAGCTAATGGGGCCTCCCGCTGCCGCCGCGCCTGGTGATTTCTGTTCTCATCCTGAAGCAAAGTTATTAACCCGAGGTACTATTTCTGGGTTAACGGAGTCTGTAACCTGAAGCATCTGTAACCTGAAGCGTCTGTAACCCGAGGTACCACTGTACATGCAGCTATGAGCCTGCAGAGTCTCATTTGCACAGATTTTGAAGGGGGGGCAACAACCCCTTCCTCCCTCTTTTCATTCAGTTTACACTTTGGAGGTAAAAACAGGGCATTGTTGCTTGAAGCAAAGGCCACACCATGGACTCGGCCAACTCAACGGAGCACAGGGCAAGGTGTAACTGAGTACTGGATTTGGGCTGGGAGTAAGTAGGTTGACCTTTGCTCAATGTGAGGCATGGTGTTAATGTGACTCCCCTGCCCCCTAGGAAACTAAGCCACATACTGCCCTGGTCTGCATGTCAGGCTAAGCCAAAACATTGTTTAGTGTGAATGTGCAAGCATGTAGGTTCCTGGAGAAGAACTCACACCTACTTTGTCCCTACTTGGTTCTTTTTATGGCTGTGTCATGCTGTTCTATGTCAAAGTTTGGCTTATCATGTCATCTAAACCCAGGTTCATGGGTTGGCTCTCTCCCAGTTAGCATGCGCTGTAAAGTAAAGGTAAAGGGACCCCTGACCATTAGGTCCAGTCGTGACCGACTCTGGTGTTGCGGTGCCCATCTCGCTTTATTGGCCGAGGGAGCCGGCATACAGCTTCCGGGTCATGTGGCCAGCATGACTAAGCCACTTCTGGAGAACCAGAGCAGCGCACGGAAACGCCATTTACCTTCCCGCAGGAGCGGTACCTATTTATCTACTTGCACTTTGACATGCTTTCGAACTGCTAGGTTAGCAGGAGCAGGGACTGAGCAACGGGAGCTCACCTCGGCGTGGGGATTCGAACCGCCGACCTTCTGGCAAGTCCTAGGCTCAGTGGTTTAACCCACAGTGCCACCTGCATCCCTGCATGAGCTATAACCAAGGTTTATTAATGGTTTAGCCTGGAGTCTTCTGCATGTGGGAAATCAGGTGGTGGGTATTTCCATTGTGCAGGTGTCTTCACGGAAACTTCATCACTTGGCTCCATGGTTCATTGCAGTAAACTGATCCATACATTCCTAATAGGTAGCATTCTATTCTTAAATGCTCTTTAAGTGTTTAACTGGATTTTTATGGATTCTACTTGACAAACTGTGCAACCCTATGATGTGTACTCAGAAGTGAGCCCCACTGAGTTTAGTGAGAGTTACTCCTCCGTAAGTGTGTGTAGGATTACTTCCTAATCTCTCTTTCACAGACACCACTATCTAAACTTGCTATTTTTGTATTCAGGATCCATCACGTTTAGCGTCTTCATTTAGTCTGAAAATGAGCCCCGTGGTGTTCAGACGTTAAAATCTGAGCAAGATGTTATTTTCATTTTTCAAATAGTGAGAGGAAAACTATCTTTTTGTAAACTGTAAATCACTAAATTACAGCTAGTTCAGTCTCTGCCAGGTTCTCAAGATGATTATTCATGCTTTTGTAGCATCAAGATTAGATTATTTGCAAGTCTATAGTTACTTACATGCTTAACTGCATAATATCTCACAAGAAAGGTTACACAACCAGGATGTTCTTAGTTGAAAAGAGGCCTGATTTAATTTAACATATTCCACAATGGCTGCTATGTCTGTCAATTAAACCAAAGTACCAATTTTACAACTGCTCTTTAAACCTACAAGGTACTCCATGACCTTTGTCTAGCATTATCTTTAATGTTCCTGGGAGCTCTCTTGGCCCTGCTCGGGGAAATATCTGACTTGTTCTAAAGTTAACTTTTGAGAATTATGTGAGCCAGAGCTCATACTCCATGGAATTCTATCTTCTTTGAAGAAATTCAGTTTGGATGGCGGTACATGTTAGGCCAGGGGTGTGTGGGGGGTGTTAAAGAGAGGGGTGGTGCATTTGTAGGGTGACTATATCAGGCCTGCACAACCTGAGGCTCACAGATTGTTGTTGTTGTTGTTTAGTCGTTTAATTGTGACCGACTCTTCGTGACCCCATGGACCAGAGCACGCCAGGCACTTCTGTCTTCCACTGCCTCCCACAGTTTGGTCAAACTCAAGCTGGTAGCCTCGAGAACACTGTCCAACCATCTCGTCCCCTTTCGTCCCCTTCTCTTTGTGCCCTCCATCTTTCCCAACATCAGGGTCTTTTCCAGGGACTCTTCTCTTCTCATGAGGTGGCCAAAGTACTGGAGCCTCAGCTTCACGATCTATCCTTCCAGTGAGCACTCAGGGCTGATTTCCTTAAGAATGGATAGGTTTGATCTTCTTGCAGTCCATGGGACTCTCAAGAGTCTCCTCCAGCACCATAATTCAAAAGCATCAATTCTTCAGCGATCAGCCTTCTTTATGGTCCAGCTCTCACTTCCATACATCACTACTGGGAAAACCATAGGCTCACAGATTACCTAAGACTATTCACTGTGTGCTTTTCCCCACACTTTTGTAGAAATCTCCAAGACCTGCTCCCAAAAGGGAATAGCAAAAATGGGGCAAGGAAGTACAAAGAGACGTATGGTGATGAGGAAAGAGAGATATTTTTTTAAGGGTGTGTCTGTGTCTGAGGAGTGATATGATGGTTGGAAAACAGCAGAGAAAGAACTCTGTTGCAGAGTTGGGAAGCAGAGAAATTGGGTTGCAGAGGGATCTGCGGTAGTGCAAGCTGAGGAGAGTGGTAAGGTAGGAATGGGCTTACAGAAAGATCTATGGGCAGGGAATCTGAGAAACAGGAGACACATGTGGGGCAAAGAACTGTGGTAGTGCAGAAAGAGAAAGAGAAAACCCTGAAGTAAAGAGAGGAGAGGAGTACAGTGGTACCTCAGGTTAAGTACTTAATTCGTTCCAGAAGTCTGTACTTAACCTGAAACTGTTCTTAACCTGAAGCACCACTTAAGCTAATGGGGCCTCCCGCTGCTGCCACGCCACCAGAGCACGATTTCTGTTCTCATCCTGAAGCAAAGTTCTTAACTTGAGGTACTATTTCTGGGTTAGCGGAGTCTGCAACCTGAAGCGTATGTAACCTGAAGCGTCTGTAACCTGAGGTATCACTGTAATGGAAGGAGAGATGTACTGGGGGAAAGAGAATTGAGCAGAGAGGAGGAGGAGGACAAAACAGGTAACTTGGAGTAAAAAGTGCATATATATACATATACATATACATATATATATATATATATATATATATATATATATATATATATAAAACCTTATTGACTTAGAAAACATAGTTCTTGCTGTTATTTTGAACTGTGATTTTTATTAAGATGCTCATTCTTGAATTATATCCCTGGCAGTGCTCTACAGTTTTGTATATTATATCATATTATATTATATCATACCATATCATATTATATTATATTAGACCAAGATGGCACTTTAAAAATGGGTTTCCACTTTCACTGGAATTGGAAAGCAACTACAGAAGCCAAAATCCCTTGCTTCAACTTGGCTCATGGTTAGGCAAAAGTGGCCAATGTAAAAGTAGCTGAAGTCAGTGGCAATGAGATTTGGCCAACATAATCAAATTGTGCTCTTGGTTCAGTAGGCTTCTACCACATCTAAGGGAAACAAGAGAGAAGCCCCAGGAAGCTAAGACAAATTGCATTGCATGCTTTGTGTTCAGATGATCCCAGTTTCAGAACCTAAGATTACCAATTAGGGCTGGGGAAGAACCTGGTTTGAAACTCTGGAAAGGAAGAACCAGTCAGAACAGATGATGCTCATCCAGATTGACTCAGAGTATTCGTATGTGCATCAAACCAAGGTCCAGTGCTGGCTCTAAGATTTTGGGAGCCCTTATGAAAGACACGGGACGCGGGTGGACTTGCCGATCAGAAGGTTGGCGGTTCAAATCCC